TTGAAATGAAAGAACAAAAAATAAACTACAAGGAGGCCAGATGAGCATGACCCTAAGCTGCTAACATCAAGAGCCAGCAGCTCTAAAAACCTGACTGGATAAACAGCAGCCACTGTCTCACTTTGTCTCCCAGTTAGTCCGATCAGTGACCAACATCTTTGAATTCTGGGTGCAAAACTGATGCAGCACCTACAGGCACTCGTACAATAATCTGGTACATTTGAACTATTGCTAGAGACTCATTGGCATAATATTTACACTATCTAAAACTGTACACTGTAATTAAAGCTGCTTACTGTCTGCTGATGCTCATATCTATGGCTGCAACTAAAGGCCATTTTCTTTATCAGTTAGTTGTGTTTTTGATGAATAAACTGTCAGAAAAAAATATTTTAAAAAATCCAGAGTATTCCAGGTGATGTTTTCCAAAGTAGGAAAGCAGCAAAGTCTTACTGGAGAAGGTTGAATCTGAACAGGCTTAATTAGTCTATCAATTAACTGCCACAGTCCTAAAAGTAGTTAATTGATTAGCAAGTTTACATTAGAGTAATTAATGATCCGTTAATAAGTCATTTATTTAACAATTGGCTGCTTACAATTCCTTAAATATGACTGGATGACTTTTTGCCCATTTATCTGCACTGTAAATTCAATAGCCTTTATTGTCTGTGCAGATTCTCAGTCATCCAGGTCATAGTAAACTGAAAACCTTTTTATTTTATTTATTTCTAGGTCGAAGGTCAGAACTGATGAAGCGTCTTGGATGAGAGGTGAAACGTCTTCGACCTAGAAATCTAGTCCAGTTGATTTTTTTCTAAATAGCCTCTATTTTAACTCCGACTCAAAAGCATGCCAAAATAATTTTGTCACATCACCAACGTTTTGTGCACATGTAGATACAAATATTCTCCTGGGTTCATTTTACTATGCTTGTATTTTACAGTGAACAGTAGCTCCAGAGCATCTCTGGCCCAAAAGAAAACCAGTATTTATCTAATATTATTTTAGAAAACGGCTGGTTTTATAGGGTAAAATAAAATAATCTAAGTTACTGGCAACTCTTCTTATAGACCAATGACTTGATCAAATGGAACGATCTTACCTTAACGCCTTGGACCTTCTCCGCGGCTCCGATGTCCTCCACAGGCGGGGATGGAGGCTGTTGCCGCGGGGAGGCTTCGGGCTCGGGTGGGAGATGCTCTTCCACGGCTTTGGATGGAGGGATGTCGTCTCCGTAGCCGACTGTGGGCTTCTTGTTCCCGACTGAGGAGGAGGAGGCGTTGGGCTTCTTGTTGAGGAGCGATGAAGCTAAATAAATCGCAGCGATAGTGAAAAGGATGGCGGGGATGATGACGGTCACATCCAGATCCATGTCGGTGGTTTTATGAATGAGAAGTTTAAAAGTTTAAGTGCGTTTCAGAAGCGTGTGATCGGTAGGTGGATGTGTCCCAGCACTGACAGCACTGAGCTGTCTGCTGCCTCCCAGCGAAGGGGGAGATCCTGTAACGGCACGTTTCAAATTAAAAGCCCTTATAGGCATGTACTGTTTTCATAATAAAAGATTTTAATAAAAAGTTAAGCAATGCACTAGCTGCTAAGAAAACACGCAAAATGAACACAAATGAGGGCCGAAACCTTTGTCAGCTTGAAACTGAAAAAAAAAACAACAACTGAAAAGATAAACATTTTAAACTGAAAAGCACTACAAAACACTGGTGTAAATTTGAAAAGGTTAAAGTGTCAGACACGTTTTGAGTCATAGAAAATGTTTTATTAACCAACAAGGTGAAATTTTTCACATCAGGCTCTGAGTGCCTTCTCAAATGTGAAGAGGCTCCTCTCCTCATCTTCACTTCCTCCACATTTAACCGCAGAGCAGAGGCATTCACCAAAAGGCAGATGGAAGGCACCATGTGACCCACCTCAGAGACTGGCATAATGCCTTTAAATTAGATTAAGAACAGATACAAACACTGAAACACAACCTCCCCGACAGCCAGTCAGCACACAAGGCCCACAACAAACTTTATAGGCACTTTAGTCTAAAGCAACAGATTAACATGAACTGCACAAATAAGAGCGAAATGTCCTGTGAAGCACTTGACATCCGGTTTAAAAGGATTTAATTCACAGAAGCTGCAAGAAACTTTAATTCTGCAGCTGAAACAAGTGATTTACAAGTTTTTATCTAAACTAAAACACAGACTGTCCTCTGGTTTGAAATTTTGAGATTTCGCTGCTTTCCCTCATTCAGAAGGCAACTCTCGTCTCTTACTGGACTGTTGGTTGGACAAAAACAAGACATTTGAAGACTTCACTTT